AAGCTTAGACATGCTATTACAACTTCTAATGTAAGTTCAGATATAGCTCCAATGGAAGATTTTTTTGATAGTATGAGTGAAGAAGAAATATTCAGATATAAATTGAAAAAAACTTTAACCCCATTTTTTAGCCAGCCAATCTTTAACGAATTGAACAATCCAAAAAAAATACCTCTACAACCTGACAATGAAAAGAATATATTAGATTAATTAGAATAATTATAATTATTATGTGCTGGCTATATTATTTTATCAAATAACTAGATTTTATTTTAGGAATTGGTATCCTAATCCTCCAATCCTAATGAAAATCAAAATATTAATACTTGTAAGAATTTCAGAGGTTGTGATATATTTTTCTTTTGTCTCATCCAAATGTATAATATAGTCACTATTATGACATCTTACAATACAGCGTATTTATCAACTGTTAATGTTCTAAAAAACCACAAAAATAAAGTTCATGAATATTTAGAAAATAACATCAAAAATATAATAATTGTAAACCTTGACAATTACCATGACTGTCATACAAACAGAATTCCAGATATGTCATCAAAATCAAAAATCAACCATATGGCCACAACATTAATCAATGTGCCTAGCATACCAGCTCTTTTTAGTAATACCAGTGTATATCAAAATGGATTACTGGATGCTAGAAGGATACATAATATATTTAATCAAAATTTCAAAAAGTTATTCATTACTTATAATGATCAAAAAATAAGTGGATTAAATATAAACAATTTAACCTTATCACCAAATGATCTACAGTCTAATCTTGTCACAGTGGATTTTGTCACAGTGGATTTCTTGCCACAGTGGATTTAAATATTGGCCCCTTTTTTATTAATTAAAAATATTTGTCACAATGGATTTTATTAATAAATCCATGTCACAGTGTTCACGGATTTTTGATGGTGATCCTTCTATATGTCTACTAATCTCACCACAGTGGATTCACATGACATATAAATTCTACTAAAATTGGTAAACAAAAAATTTTTTTTTCACTATTAATATTAATAATGATAAACAAGATTTTAGCAGAGGATGCGCAGTGAGCTTTTTTGAACTTTATTAATAATATTTGTGTAATACAAAAAAAAAATCTGAGA